GATGAATATGACACAGCCCCCCACTCCCAATGCACGCATATCATACGGGGGTACACGGCTATTCAACAGGTATCCAGGAATATAGGTAAGTACACAAGTGGGGCAAGTAGAGGCTATGGGAGGGCAGGAAACAAGCGGTCAGAGCAGCCTTGAGAAGTGACAGTGATGGAGATTTGAAGGGTCAGTGGGATTGGGAGGTAGGCCATTCCAGGCAGAAGGACCGGCGTGCTTAAAGGCCGGAATAATGTTTCGTGAAGAGCTGAGGAGTGTCTGGTGTGGCTGGGCAGTGATGTCACAAGCCATTGACGAGCTTTATTTATTTTTTAAATATTTATTTATTTTTAGAGCACGGATAGGGAGTAAGAGAGGGAGAGAAGCACTGCTCAGCTGCCTCTCAGGCACCCCCAGCTGGGGACCTGGTCTGCAATCTAGCACGTGCCCTGACTGGGAACTGAACCGGTCACTGTTCTGTTTGCAGGCCAGTGCTCAACCCACTGAGCCACCACACCAGTCAGGTCCGTTGATGGGGTTTAAATAGGAGAATGACACGGCTGGGTTTGAGGTCTTTGTAAAACCAGTCCGGACTGGAAGAATCAAGCAAGAAAGGAATCAGGGAGACAGGAGGCTGCTGGTGTAATCCAGATGAGTAGCAATGGGGGGGGGGTTGGTGGTGGAATGAGAGTAGAATGGACTGTGGTCGTCTGGACGGGGGGGGGGGTTGGAAAAGAGAGGCGGAATGAACATGTTTCTGGTGCTCTTACTCCAAGGTGGGGTGGAGAGAGGCCACAGGAGCTGGGACACCCACATCCCTGTGGCGACCAGCTCACTGATCTGCCTGGGGCTGGGTTTCCTGATGTCTTCCCAGGGGTCCTCATTCACCTTTTATTCTAGAGGAGCAGATGGAGGCCCAAGGGGTAGAAGGCTGTTAAGAAGACCCAGAATGAGGCAGAGGGCAGGAGAAAAGGAAGTTGGGTCAGAGTCTGGATGTGATGGGGTTTCAGGGAAAGTGACACCTGGGGTTTCCTCAGGGTCTGGAAATTCCACTGTCTCTGGATTCACCCTAAGATTCCGAAATTCCGAGATGCTCAATCTCTGGGGCCCAGTCCTTAGAAGTCGTGGGAGCCTTCTAGGGGCTGTGAGTCCATATCCTGTCAGGACCACCATCCCCTGACAGGTCCCCAGGACTCTCGACAGTCCCTAGCATCAGGGTGCACTCCTCTGAGTTGGCCCAGTGCCCATGATCTTATGAGGTCAGGATCCTCACACTAACCCTGGAGGTCAGCAGCTTATGCACCCACATTGTACATGGGAAGACTTCCAGGGGTTAAGGAACTTGCTCAAATTCATACAGCTAAGACAAGGCAGGAGGAGGATTGGAATCAAGGTTTGACTGACATCAGAGTGTGTGCTTTTAACTCCTGAACTATATTAAGCCTGTTGACCCCTGGTTGATTGGCTCAGTAAGGGGAGGAGGCTTTGTGAGGAACTTGCTTGTGGTTGGGGTGGCTGCTCCCCTCTTATATCAAGTGATGGGAAAGGGTAGTACTGACGTCAGTTGTTGCCGTGGTGATACAGCAACCCTTTCCCTGCTGTCTCCATGGTAACCTGGGGGGTCCATCTGCCTACTTCACCCCCTCCTTCTAAAAGGGGGCCCCTTAGGGAGGGGCTGGCTAAAAGTGTCTGAGAGAGAAGTCAGGAAAGGCAGTGATTCAAGCATCGTTTTTTCCCTGGGCCCCTGCCCATTCCTCAGGTGCAGACAATAAGGCTGGGATCTGGGAGTTTGGCTTTGGCATCTGGGGACAGCTTGGCTCTTTTGGGTGAGGGAGGCAACTGTTTTTACCACTTGGGGATTCCCCTGGAAATTCCCCTACCAAGTTCTCAAGCTCCTGAGCAGAACTGCTGGGAAGTTGGCAGAGGGAGGCAAGAGGGATTCCCCAATCCCCTCTTGGGCTGGTCATCACCTAGCCTTGGGGGACAAGGCTGCCCAGCTCTCTGTTGCCCCTTGAGGTCAAATGTTGGAACAGCAGCAGTGGCAGCAGCCTCTTGTTCATCAAGCCCTAGCTGTGCCCGAGATTCCTTCCCGGTGCTATACTCACATGACTTTACTGAAACTTCCACCAGGTGTCATTAATGTCCTTCCACAGATTTGGAAATGACTCAGAATGGCTAACTAGCCCAAGGTAGCACAGCTTGTAAATGGCAGGACTGAAATGCAGAAGCAGAATTTAGGCCAGTGACTTCTGCAGTGGGGAAAAGGAAAAAGCAATAGAGAACAGGATGGAAAAGGAGATGAGAAGTAGGAGAGAGAAGCGATCTAGACGGGAGCCTGTCACACCCGCTATCACGTACAGAACAAAGTTCAGACTCAGTGCCTCGACCCAGTGCCTTCTCTTCTGTGAACTCCCTCCCGGATCCCATGAATTCTGAGCTCTGCAAGGGCCAGGGATTAGATTCAGGCCTGGGCTCTCGGCACCTGGCACGGCCTGGGTAGTTACTGGTGAAAGTTGATTGAACTGAGTTTCCTGAACTTGCCCTCCACTTTTCTGCCTCCAGCCTTTGCCCGCAGTGTTTCTTCCTCCTGGAGTGCCCTTTCCCCTTACTCACGGACATTCTAGACCTCACTAGACTCAGGGTCTGGTTCCGTGGAAAGGTATGTGTCCAGAGTGTCTGGAATCTGCATCCCTCACTATCCAAGCAAATGGAAGGAGGCGATAAATCTTTTTAAAGGAAAGGAGGGTTGAGAAATGAGACAAAGGAAATAAGAGGGGTGAAAGAAAGGAAGAATGGGAAGGAGTCAGCATTTGGGGGCTGGCAAGGTTCAGAGAGATGAGCTGGTCCTCCCTGTAACTTTTTTTTTTTTAACCAGTGAAGAAAGGTGCCCTGAGGGAAGGGGCTTGCCTGATGAGGCCTCCCAGGAAATCATGTGAGTTCTATGATTTTGATGTGAGTTCTAAGCCAGGTGTCTTCTATGAGGGTCAAGTTTACCACGGAGTCCCCAGCGTCCCGCACAGGCCTAGTGGACCTGTACTATCTGTGTCAGGGGCGAAGCCTGAACTAGAACCCAGGGGCCTGACACCTGCTCACACTGACCAAGGTTCCTCCTTGCCATGGAACCGAGCTGTCACCCTGGCCCCTGCCACTCTTTACCCCTCTTTTCAGGCTTCCTTCTCTCCCAGGTGCACTCCATCTTCCAATCTTTGCATAAGCTGCCTCTGCTCCTGGGTTGTTTTTTTCTCCATCTTCACCCGTTATCTTCTGGCAATGCTTTCCATCACCTGGCTGTGCTTACATCTCGAGGGGAGTCTTACTCAGGGCCCAGACTGGTCAATTATAGTCTCGCATCTCCTTGACAATGGTAATTGGCCCAAGGAGTGTACCTGTGATTTAAGAAGGGCCAACTGCTGCTGCCCCGCCATGGGTAGGTATATAGAGCCTGGGAGAAAATACCTCTCCCTTCTTGGGGTTTCTGAGCTGCCTGCAACCGTGTTGCTTCCCCTGGAGATGACCAGGGGTGAGATAGGAACAATGGGGCAGTCCTGGTGGGGTTGACCCCTTGGTCCCATCCCAACAGATGCCCTGATTTCTACAGTTCTTTCTTTAACTACTGGCTTATATCCTTCTCAGCCACTTGAAACAATCAATTTCTTTTCTGTTTAAGCTAACTGCAGTTGCTCTCAATGGTGAAACCATATCAATACAGAGCCCGGTGATTTTTATTCTCTAAAATGACAGTGGCCTCCTAAGGGGGGTGAATACTGTTTACAGGGAGTGAGGCCCTTTTTCTGCAGAGCCACAGCAGGCGGAGCAGGGCCTGCGTTAAGTTTGGTGGGGATGGAGGCAGCTGGGTTATTCCACCGAGTAGAAGAGCTGAGTCCCTGAGGGGTTCTCCAGGCAGGAAGGGTGGCGGAGAAGAGGAGTGAAGGAGAGAGAAGCCAGCACTAGGGCCTAAAGCCAGGGATTATTCGGGGAAGGGGCAAGCTAGGTGTGGAGGGGTTTCCAAAGAGCCAGGATGTTTTAAAGGACCAGGCGCAGAACGGTCATCCGAAGTCCTCACTTCGAAGTAGACCTTTTGGCAAACACCCTCTCCTTCAACCAGCCTGCATTTGGCACTGCCCGGGACAGCGTTTTGTGTAGAAGTCATCAAGTCACCTTTCAGGTGGCGGTGGGATTTTGAAGTGCTCTAGGGACAGACAGCCTGGCCTTCTACTTATGTAAATTAGGTTAGGAAAATTGAGCCAACTGTACTTAGATCTCAGGGGACAGGAGACTGAACCTAAGCTTTAGCTTACATGTATTTTCCCCCAATATTTAAATAAATACAGTTCATTAAAGCAAAAATGGAAAGTGGAAAATACTTATTCAGCTTAAACCCTACACTCCCAGGCAATTCGGTGTTGTGGGCCCCTCCTACAGGAGGCAGCTGTGAAGTCTGAGGACATTCCCGTCACCCACCGGCTGGCAGAGCCCAGGACTGGCACTCAAGGCTGTTCCCTCACCTGTAACACAGGAATTTGAAATCAAAGTTTTTGAAGGGACTTCTTCCCCAATCTTTTTCTGGTTCCGCCACTTCTAGAAGAAACCAAGGTCAAGATGAACAGGGTGCCTCCCTAAACTCTTCCAACAAAACCAGAGGTGCCCAGGGTCACAAAACAGCAGGCAGCAAAACCTAATGCCATCTTGGGAGCATTAAACGAGCCTGGTGTGGGTGGTCATTTTCTACTCTAAGTTGTCCGCCGATCCCCTCGGATCCTGAGCTTCTCTAGGCCCCGGAGTCCAGCCCAATAATGTGATTTTCACCAGAGGCTATGGAGGGAGCCTGAGGGGGTGGGGAGGAGTCATGACTAACCAGAAGAAAGTGGGCGGGGAAAGACCAGCCCCTGGGGCTGGGAGGATCCAAGGGAAGAGGCAGCGATAGGGAAGGCACTAAGGGATAGCGCAGACCCGGCAGGACAGACATACACGGCCAGTCCGGAGTGGAAAGAACAGTTTATGCTGTAATTTATTAAAATGTGCATCATTCTTTTATTTTAAAATGTGCATCATTGTCTCGTGCTCGGCGCGCGCGACGTGCTCAGGCGCACTCAGGTGGCGCGGGCCCGGGGGCTCCCGCCCATGGCCAGGTAGACGTCGATGGGCACGTGCAGCAGCGTCAGGCAGTGGCAGCCCGGGCAGCGTCGAAGCGGCCTAGGGAAAGCAGTGCGACAGGGGGCGCTGTTGGGGTCTTATCCAGGGAGTGCACTTGGGGTTTCCGAGGTTGGGGCGAGGATGTGGGGCCTTTACCTGGGGTGGGGGTGGGTGGGACTGGGGATGGAAAGTGGGCCGGGGATGACCCGGGAGCGCAAGAGGGGACACAGGCTCACCTGACAGGGTTGTGCTCCGTAGCTACCGGCTCTGGGCTGTCCTGGGACTCGGGAGTGGCGGCAAGGCCAGGGGAGTCTCCGGCCTCAATGGGGAATCTCCGACCCTGAGGGGGCTCCTGGGCACTCATGTCCAGGCCCCGGGTCGCTCTGCACGGGGAGGGGGCGAGGCAGTCAAGCTGCTGTCGGACGGCTGGGCGCCTCCACCCCGCACCTGCCCCTTGGGCCATTGCTCACCTGCTGGAGGCCGAGGCCGGTCCCAGGCTGGAAGCAGCTGCCTGAGCCCTGGCCGCGGGAGGACGCTCCGGTCCAGGCGCAGCCGGGCAGGTGTCTGCGGTGCGTGTGAGCCCGGGCGTCGAGGGGGAGGGCCGCATTGTGACCTGGGCCTTGGCGTGCTGACCTCACAGAACCCGTTCCTCCCGCCAGGGAACCCGCCCACTGCCCGACACCTAGTGCAGTCGTGCGCAGGGAGCCCGAGGGCTCCCGCCATGGCGCTTTGAGACTGGGTGGTGCTGACATCCAGCAGCCCCATGGGGGCGCAGCGGCGACAGCAACCAGATGGGAGGGGGCATCCACAAAGAACCTGGCATTTTAGGGAGCCCGGGCACCTCGGAGCGCCCCTTTACACCAGCCTGACCTGGCTCGGGGGTGGGAGCGCGGCTATGACTTAACCGGTACTGGGTTTGGTGGTGCTGCTGCTGCTGAGGGTAGGCCATTTTGGCCAAGGGTCATACAATATTTACATCACAATTGGGCTGGAGTTTTAAAATGTCTGGCCCTCTCCCTCCCCACCACCTGCGGCTGCTGTGTCCAGACGAGAATGTTCTAGCGTTGGGGGCTGCTGTGGGTGAAGTCCCTGGGGGGAAAAGGACCGGGCCAAGGGCGATGGTGGAGTAGAGCTGCCTCACAGAGGCAGCATGAGCTAATAGCTTGATAGGAAGGAAGCGCTACACAGCATGGAGGACTTTCTGCTCTCCAATGGGTACCAGCTGGGCAAGACCATTGGGGAAGGGACCTACTCAAAAGTCAAAGAAGCATTTTCCAAAAAACACCAAAGAAAGGTGGCAATTAAAATTATAGACAAGATGGGAGGGCCAGAAGGTGAGCTGGGGCCCCTTTGGAGGGAGAGGGCTGATTGTGGTGGGTGGGGCTTCCTCCCCTTAGTCTGAAACCAAGATGATGGCTCTGGAGTAAGTCCCTGGGGAACAGAGGGATGCTGGGAGTCCAGGAACACCAGACCATCCAAAACCCAAGCTTGAAGGGGCAGGAGGCAAAGGGTTCTCAGAGGCAGAACCCAAACCCATCAGAACAGAGTGGCAGAGAGCACTAGATGGCAGATGCTGGTGTGGAAGCAGACAGCAATGGGGAAAAAACTGGGCTCAGGGAAAGAACTGTCCTGAACAGTTCAGGAGGCAGGGGCAGGAGGGGCTGGTCACCACACTGCAGGCAAGTCAGGCCTCACAGCTGAGATTGGCTTTATCCAACAGTCACCCAAGCACCTGGACACCTACGGTCTCACAGGCTGTTCACAACAGTCCCTGAGGTTGGCAGGGAATGGTTCCTTTGAAAATAAATTAACTACAAAAATAAGGCAAATATTCTTTGCACTGTCCAAGCACCTAAACATTTAAGACTGTTAAAAGGAATTTGACATTGTGATTAGAAGGCACCAGACCCAGCCGGACATGGTGGGGAGACAGGCCCTTCTGAACTTGATACACAATCTTTTTCCTTTGTTTCCTCAGAATTTATCCAGAGATTCCTACCTCGGGAGCTCCAGATTGTCCGCACCCTGGACCACAAGAACATCATCCAGGTGTATGAGATGCTGGAGTCTGCCGATGGTAAAATCTACCTGGTGATGGAGCTGGCTGAGGGGGGGGACGTCTTTGACTGCGTGCTGCATGGGGGGCCACTGCCCGAGAGCCAGGCGAAGGCCCTCTTCCGTCAGATGGTTGAGGCCATCCGCTACTGCCATGGCTGTGGTGTGGCCCATCGGGACCTCAAGTGTGAGAACGCCTTGTTGCAGGGCTTCAACCTGAAGCTGACTGACTTTGGCTTCGCCAAGGTGTTGCCCAAGTCACGCCGGGAGCTGAGCCAGACCTTCTGCGGCAGCACAGCCTATGCCGCCCCCGAGGTGCTGCAGGGTGTTCCTCACGACAGCAAGAAGGGTGATGTCTGGAGCATGGGCGTTGTCCTCTATGTCATGCTCTGTGCCAGCCTACCTTTTGATGACACAGACATTCCCAAGATGCTGTGGCAGCAGCAGAAGGGGGTGTCCTTCCCCACTCATCTGGGCATCTCGGCTGAATGCCAGGACTTGCTCAAACAGCTCCTGGAACCAGACATGATCCTCCGGCCTTCGATCGAAGAAATTAGTTGGCATCCATGGCTAGCAAGCACTTCATAAAAGCAATGGCAAGTCCTCCCCAATAAAGCAGGGGGAGAAAGCAAACCTAACCCGCTTCGGAAATGGTGATATATATTTTACACTCTAAGTTTATTTATCCTAAAACTTACCTACACCTTCCCCAGCCTTACTTCTCTTTCCCTTTAAAGATTTTCATGGAACCAGAGGGCCTCATTCAGGCTTCCCTTTTATTATGGCTGACAAGTGATTTTCACATGGGTATTTAACTAAAGGTAATTAAATTAGACCTCAGAATCATATACATACAGGGGGAGGAGAGGAGAGAACAATGACAAAGAGCAAGTGGAGCCACTGTTGTCACAACTTCCTTTCCAAATAAAAGCAGAAGCATTGGGAGTGCAGAACTGGCCTCTTGACTCCATGCCTTGGTGAGAAGCCTGTTGGGGGCCCCATCCCTTCCTCATCCCAAAGGCCAAGTTGGATGAGTCTGGGTGAGGACAAGGGACTTCCTCAGGAGCCATGCTACCTCCCATCCATGCCCCGCCCCCCTGCCCGGGTCCAAGCAGAAAGCTACTCTGTACACTGTGTGTCCTGCCCTGACCTCAGGGCAGCTGCCATGGGGGACAAGAACAGACCCCCAGACACCTTCCAGCTTCTGTTGAATCTCTTTAATGCTGTTAACGGCAAGTCTGGAAAACGTTCAGGACAAGGTTCTTTTTTCTTTCTTTTTAATTACAAAACTAACAGCTGTTAGAATCTTTTTTTTCCTTTTTTCTTTTCCCGGCTACAAAATACTCTGGGGAGATGCATTATAATTTAAAATATATAATATTGCACAAACAACCAAAAGATTAACTAAACTGAAGATATTACAAAGAGAGAAAAACCCCATCCCATCAAAAAGACTCAGCATTCTCTCCAACCCACCCTGTCACTGAAGGTCTGGAGTGGTCTGACCACCTCTCTCAGCAGCCCTGCCTTGATCCCACTAAGTCATGGGCGAACACCCTGGACTATGTACAAGAATCACCAGAGCAGCATCGTGAAGCACCAGGGTCTCCAGGGACTCCTGCAGCCCCTCACTCCCCCGAGAGGTGTACCTTTACCAGAGTGGAGGGTAAGAGCCATAAAGACTGCCTGCCTTCGGGAGAAAGAGCTTTTTCAGAAGCCTGGTGAGAGTCTCAAGAATTCACCCCCGGTATATTCCTTCAAGAAGCAGAAGGGTTGAGGCAGAGAAATTGCGCTTACCAGGGATGTAAGTATTCGGCTTTGATCACTGCTCTGCACCACTTGGAGCAGACTTGCATCCTAAGATCCAGGTGAACCAAGTTGGGCAGTTGGCTGGACAAGTTACCCCGCCAGGCAACGCACAGAAGGGCCTGAAGGGGTCCCTCCCTTCTTGGGGAGGGGAAGAGAAGCAAGAGCAGAGTCTTGCAGGTGGCACAGGTGGGCTAAGGACTTGGGTGCTTCTGACATGAATAAGCCCTGGGAAGGGCATTGGGGACAAACCAGCCTGTACTGGAGCAAAAAGGTAGGAACTCAGGGTTTGGTCTCTAGATTCTGAACCACAAGGAACTTTTCCAGAAATGGAAAATGCCTGGGAATGGGAGGTTCCCGAGAGAGGATAATTTCCCAGAGTCAAATGTCTCTTACCCACTGGAATAGGGACCAGAATGTGTTTGCCATGCCTGTCCAGCCAAAGGCAGGTGGCATGGCCTTCCTTCCCTGCTTATGGCTGGACAGTGCGTTGACTTGGCTTCCTCCAAGAGACTGGTTGTTTAGCTCCTGTCCACACAGGCAGAAGCAATGGAGCTATCCCTTGGGACTTTCCAGCAAGAGTCCCCAAGAACAGTGGGTATTCAGCAGAGAAATGCAGGCTCTTCTGGTGAGGGGGCAGGTTTCCTCCCCCTTAGGTCATCCCGTGGTTGGCACAAGTCAGAGTTCTTGGTTTGGATTTAGTGAGCCCCTTCCCAGCTGTAAGCGGAGACCCACGGGGCCAGCAAAGAGCAACCCAGAATCTGTGCCTTGAGCTCTGGCTCACAGAGGCCGTTTGGGGGACATTCTTGATCAGTGTCTTCCAGGGCTGGGCTGAGACGATCATGGGAAATCGAAGATGCCGTGGAGAGGGAGCTGCTGCCCTGGCTCCCCTCATTCCCAGTCCTCCCACTCTACATCTTCCAGCTGCAAATGGGAGGCGACAATGGAGAACACAAAAACAAATTTACTCCTCTATGTCAAGCCCAGGCTCAAGCTCCCCTTGCTGCCTCCACTTCCAGGGAGCCCTCCCCAACCCTCACCCCACTCCCCTGGCCCATACAGTACCCGTGAGAGTGAACCACAGTCTTAAGCATCGTGTCTGGGGAGCAGAGCTGTCCTCTGCCTAAAGGGTCGATCTGTTGCTGAGATCGTTTCAGAACCAAAGGAAATGCTTCCACCCACCAATGCTGGACTCTACAAGGGGGAAGCCCTACCCACAGGAACCAAGTCAGTCAGCTCCTTAAGTAAAACTTGTCCCCTGCTGAGCAGATTAAGAAGATGGGTCAGAGAGGCAGAGAACTGGAAAGTGGCGGCCTGGGCTACAGGTGCTCACAGGGTCTTCACTAGGGGCTCCAGAACCCTGGTCCCCAGCCGAAGTCTTCCCAGGCAACCTTCTCTTGGCCTGCTGTCAGCTGATCCCTACTATGATGGGTTATAGAATGACTGCTCAGGGACACTGTATGTCAGGTTTTAAAAGAGGGCTGCAAAGACACGAGGCCCCCGAGGCATGACAGGGCAGCATGGCCTTCTCCGCCCTGGGTACAGTGACACCACGGCACAAAATGCTCTGCACACACCACCCCCCTCAGCCTCCAGTCTCCCGACACGAAAAACCAGGCCCTTGCTGCGCCTCTAACCTGTTCACCTCTCCAACAGGCGCATGGGCCACATGATGGAGGAAATCACGCAGTTCTTGTGTGACAGCGGAAGTAACAGTGACTTGAATGGTATGTCTGGGCTGGGGGTCAGCCCTGCAGCTTATCAGCGATAAGAGCTTTCCTCCCAGCCTCTCGTTTAGAAGGACCCATTCGTGACTTTGAGAAGCAGTGAACGATGAGCACCAGGCCTCTGAGCTAATACCTGGTCTGGGTCCTGCGGTGGTTTCGGTAACATCTACCGGTGCTCCCCTGTCCCAGGCACTATGCCTAACACAGCTATGTACATTGTCTGTCACAGCTCGTAATCACTAATTCCATGTTTTAGATGAAAAAATAGAGGTTCCAGTTAAGTGATTAGCCTTCGATCGCATTGTCTTTGGTCTGCAAAGCGAGAAACCTGCTCAGCTCCACCCTGGGGCCGTGAGCCAGGAGATCTGGAGCAAGCTTTGGTATCTGTACTTTTTAATAGTGCCTTGGTGATTCTGACACAGCTAATGTCAGGAACTCTCCCACTCATCCATCCTGAAGCTGAAAGGAAGCAGAGCCTGCTGATGACAACTGCTCAGGGCCACAGTGGGAGGTGCCGGGTCTCTTTCCTGCAGCCTGTCACCTCGGAGAGACACAGGGGTCTACCCTGAGGGGACAGCTGGGCCTGGTGAGGAGAGGCCTCAGACCCTGGGCCCGCTGGGCTTGCTTCCCTGTGGTCAACCAGACGCACTCACCTCACCCGAGGCATCCACTTTGGAAAGTGCCATCTGCACTTCCTCTTCAGTCATGTCCAAGTCAAAGTCCTTCTCCCAGTCTTCGCTGATGTCTGTGCTCGAGCCTGGAACCATAACCCACAGTGTCAGACTCGGGAAGGGGTATGTGAAGAGGCTGTAGCTGGGGCGCTGGCACTCTCTAAAGGACTTGACCAATACACGCCGAGGGTCTCTGCCTTCTGCTGTCACTCTAGCTCACCTCCCACTTTAAGGAATCTAAGGAATAATCCTAGATTCAGTCAAAAATTTAGCCAAGAGCACGTTCACTGTAGTGCTGCTGTAGTGGTAAAAACTTAAAAAGCCACCTGCAAGTCCACTGATAAGGGAATTCCAAACAAATAAATGGTGACATGATGGAACATCATGTGACTTTTACGTTTAGGATGTAGAACATTTATATACATTTAAATAGTATTAAACTCTACTACTAAGTGAGGCAGCAAAGTAAGTTCATGAGTAGGGGAGAAGCACTCTGGTCCAGAGATTCCTTGGGAGCCACAAAAGTCTTCCAAAAAAAATAATCTCTTCCTCTTTACTGACTACACCCTACCTACCCTGACTCCCTCCTCTGGAAACACACCAGGCACATCCCACTGTAGGGCCCCTGCAGGGGGTGTCCCCCTGTCCCTGGGACCCTCAGAGAGCCACAGGCCAACTCCTTCACTTCCTTTCCCTGTGCTCAGATCTCACAGTGAAGTATGGCCTACCCTGACCATCCTTTTAAATTGCAACCTACTCCCTTATACTCTGCTCTGC